AAAATAACGTTCGGAGAGTGTTGATGGTGACCAGACCAAAAAGTTCCTACTTTTAGGCAAAAGGGAGCTTAGCAACATTGTAGGAGTTATCACAGGGCATCTTCCCTTAAGCTCAAATCTTTAGAAAATGGGAAAAGTGGATTCGGCGGAATGCAGAGCATGCACAAAGGATGATGAGGCACTGGAATATTATCTTTGTGAATGCCCAGCCTTCAGCCGGATGAGAAGGGATATATTCCACAGCTCCCAATACTCCAACTTAATAAAATTTGGGCAGCTGGAAAGTAAAAGAGTAAGAGAAGGAAATCAGGTTTTTTACCATATCCTCAATCATTTTAAAGTGCATGATGTATTTATTTAGGTTTTTGGACATTTACAAAAATCACTGCGAGTTTGTAATCAATGAATTCGTTATTAGCAGGTATGACTTTATTGCATCTAGGTATACTATTACGAAAACTCCAAGTGGAAAGTTGCTGAGGAACATAGTACTGACATCGCCGTCGACGGCCTAGAACATTTAGTGGGATACATTTTTAAAAAATTAAAAACAGTGGCTGAATTTGATAAAGATCGAAAGCATACATGGTTTAATAACGTAAGCGCGGGCGGAGTGGTGAAGCCAACTGAAAAAAATAATGGAGGTGATGTCCCAATGAGAAAAAATATTTGAAAATATAAAAGTCTTTTAGACAATAATATAATAATTTTTTGTTTTTCAAACTCGTCTCACTGTAAGTTCGATGATTTTGGTTTAATGACGTCAATGTTGTCGCAACCGTGTATTCTATGAACGATGATGATCATCGTTATTGACTCAAAATATATGTGACAAAGTGTGAGTGATTTAAAAAACAAATATCAACAAAAATTTTCATTCTTTAAATTATTTTTAAATTTGGAACAAATGAAGATTTTAACTTTTGATCAATTAAAAATTACACAAGGTCAGATCAAAGAGAGAATGTGGTTTCATTAAAAGCTCAAACTGAAATGTCGGCCAATTTCTAAAGTCGGCAAATCATAAAATGAAGTGACAAAAGCTTAGATATATCGAATCGAAATAACAAGTAAGGAAGGGCTAAGTTCGGTGTAATCGAACATTTTATACTCTTGCAATTTCCAAAGAAAAAACCGGGAAAATACTCTTAGGCGTTGCCAAACTTTTGTTTAAAAAAATTCAATAGACATTATTCGAAGAAACCGAAAGAATAACAATCAAATTTCTATCTTATTAATTTAAATTATTGCCCATAGGCTCATTTAGTTTCATTACTACTTCAAATAGTATCCAAAATCTCAAATTTAATATATTTGGGAAATAGTCAACCGAATAATCGGAAGTCATTGTATTAGCGATATGAAGTTTAGGCCAATTCGATTAAATTCGATTAAATTTTTAATTTCATTAAAATATTACAAATATTGACTGACATAAAAGCTTTAAAATCAGATGGAAAGTCAACATGACTGGAAATCACTACATCGTGTACAAGTTGGTTGCGAAATTTATACCCTCAACAAGAAACAGCACTACTAGCTTATGGTATCGGTTTTTTGGGAAGTAAAAATAATTTTGTTAATTGATTTTATGCAGAAAGGTAAAACAATCAACTCTGAATATTATTGTAGCCTTTTGGATCAGCTTAATGAAAAATTCGTGAGAAAATACCTGGTTTGCAGCACAAAAAAAAATAATTTTTCATCAAGACAATTTAACAATGACAAAATTCACTGAATTAAATTACAAAACGAATTGCTTGAGCATCCACCGTATTCACCAGATTTGGCTCCCAGCGATTTTACGGGTATTTTACAGATTTTCCGGTAAGTCATTATAGGGATGGCAAAAAATTATTAGAGGATCATTGGAATAAGTGTATTGAAGTTAAGGGAGGCTATATTGAATAAAAAATATATTTCGTACCAAAACCATTTTTTTTTATTTCGTGCCAACCTGTATATAAAGCAATGTGAAAGGTCAATGCAACAAGCCCAGAACCTTATCTGCCCCCAATATACCCGGTTTAGTGATATCCAACTTTCTACCTAACTTTAATCTGTTTAGCTTGGTGAAAGTGTATGAAATTTTTATGAAATTAAGTGCACAAGTTTTCTTAAAAATTATAAAATTGAATATGAACGAAATTAATTTAGACTATGCTCTAATATAATGAATTTCGATCTCCTGGTTAACGTTTCCCAGATTAACTCAATATGTATAGTTAAGCCTATTCGGTTGAATTTATAACTGATGTTAAAATGATTTTAATAAAATTTCACGCTCACGCGAAGTAAAATATATAAATAAAACTAACTTGATTTGATTGTAATACATTCAACTTGTTGCTACAGAGTATAATAGTTTTGTTCACCTAACGATTGTTTGTATCACCTAAAACCTTGGTATCTTGGTACCGTAAGACGGTTGGTATTGCATATGGGCGTAATTGAACCACTGTCACGCCCACAAAACGCCATTAATCAGAAACAAATAAATTACCATAACTAAGCTCCACAACAAGATACAAGATTCTTAGTTGGTACACAGGATCACACTAAGAAGGGGCATCTGCGGTTAAAATTTTTTTTAAAGTGGGCGTGGTCCCGCCTCCTAATAAGTTTAATGTGCTAAATACTGACTATATAACGGTACTGTTAAAAACTACTAAAAGCGCGATAAATCAAGTACTAAACAAGCCAGAGACATTAAATTTTATCTCTGGGATGGTATAAGATGATTTTATAGGAACCACGTTCAAAATAAGATAGTAGATAGGGCGGTGCCATACTTTTAGGTTAAAACCCATATTTTGGGATCTGCTTAACCGATTTCAACCAAATTCGGTACATAATATTCTTCTCATATTTCTATGTTATAGTACGAAAATCTTACCATTTATTGTTCTAGCAATAACACTAATTCATCTTTTATTCCTCCAATAAAGTGGTTCTAATAACTCAATTGAATTAAATTATAATATTGATAAAATCCCCTTCCACCCTTAGAAATTTAAACTCCATCTGATTTTTTCAATTTCCAGTATGCAAATCAAGCAACAATAATTATGTCGACGTTAAACCTTGCGTGAAAAATACGTTTAAAGTATGCCACCTTGTGACCAAAAATTATCTAAATTGAACCAAAACTGTACCCATAGGTACTGAATAAGTGGACCCGAGTACCTATAGTTGACTTTTTACCGAAAATATCGGTCAACATAGAACAAGGCGGCAAGATCCACAAAGAAATCTAAAACGAGTATACCATTTAACTTTGCGAGAGTATCAAATGTTCGGTTACATCCGAACTTAGCCCTTCCTTACTTGTTTAATATAAAATGTTGTCAATACCTGAAGGTATTTCTCCGGCTTTGAGCATTGCATGTTGCAAGAGTAATGTTCGGGTGTTCCCGAAGGGGTAAGAGGAAGGGGTAATCCTTACTTGTTACGAATCATGTTGTTTTTTTAGGGTTTATATATTATTTTTGTTATGTATTTATACATAACTTTTATTTATTTTATGAATTACAAAATTACTTATTTATATAAGCACCTAGCTTTTCATGAGTTGCTTTTTGACCTTCCTATAATTTTTAAGGTTTATATACTATTATAATTATATATATCCTTTTATGTAACTTATGGGTGATATAGGCCTACTGAGGAACCGATCAACCAAGTATAATATCAATAACGCGCTAATTACATACCCCAATGGTATTGTGGAAGTGGCAAAATACTCGAAAGCTATTTTTAAAATAACCAACATAATTTTTTCGGCAGTAGCACTATTGGCCAAGGTTATAAAAAATGTGAATTTTGAAGGGTTATGGTTTTATTAAGGTAAACCAGGTAGTATAGTTCTGAGTATTTTAAAGACCTTGTTTTCATGCTCAAATTCTGATTTTAGACATTGAAAAACACTGGAATTTATTTTTTAGCTCCTAAATTTTGCTTTTGCCATTAAAGAAATATGAAAAAAAGTTTCTACAAAAGCAAATTTTAATCAAAAAAAAGTGTTTTCCCTTATTTTTGGTGTAGGAGAAACTGAAATTTAACATGCAGAAGCCAGACCCAAAAATTATGTCGACCAGTATACCATATTTAATGTTCCTTTTATGCTACAAAACTCTAATTTCACAAAAAAAATAAAAAGAAGGGGATTGTGTTGCTCAAATATTTTGGAGGAGTGGACGTGGCTCCACCCTTTATTGTGTTAAATGCAAGAAATGTTAAATTATATAGCAAATTAAATGTATATCAGTTATAAAATATAACCGACGTGGTTTTGTTTGAAGGTGAGCAGTATTTTACTACCATATAACAATAGTTTAAATATTATTCGATTATTCTACTTTATCATAGGTATCTTAATACGCATCCGATTTATGGCAATTCTCATTTGAAAAGGACTAAAGTGGACTCATACCTTTTCTAGCCCCCATGTACCGAACATGAGAATCTATTATATATGATGCATATCCTAATAAAAATAAGTCGTATTCAATTAAGCAATATATTCTTAAACATTGGCAACGAAAAATTGATAAAATCGGTCATTCCCTAGTTAAGACCAAATGTAATATCTTTCGCTGTTCGGGTTTTTTCGAGCATAATTTAATTTGATGTGAGTGCGAGCAATCAGCGCGCCCTTTATCTCGCTTCTATAACCCATTATATTCAACCCGTTTGTCTGCTTGAATTATACCATACTTGTACAAAGATTTGTGAGACTGATATCTCGATATAATCAATGGAGAATGAATTATTAGGGTTCATATCTCCTCAGCGTTAATTAAATGAATATAGTGATTTTTGTGCTTAATGTCGATCTTAATGTGTGAAATATATAACTAAATTAAGATTAAGGTTAAGTATGCAGGCTCTCTTAATCCAAATATAATATCTCTTATTAACCGCGACAGTATATACTTTTCTGGTATACCTGAATTTAGGCTTTACTTGCCGTTATTTGTTATAGTTACAGTAATTATTACCTGAGTTGGTGTCAAATGTATGAGACTGGCTAAATGCTCTCTTTCTGGTGCGGATAGGTACCTTTGCTGCTTAAAGCGCCTCTCTAATTCGTACACCTACAATTTTAAGTAAGAAAAAACAAAATAGTTTATTAACATATATTAAAGCAGCTACTAGATATCAGTCATATGAATTTGAAATAAAGAAGCAAGAAGTACTTATTTTTTGCCTGTACAATTGAACAGCCTCTCGGACTAAACATATTTATTTTATGTCCTTTTATATATAATTTATTTTTATATAAGTGAAGTAATAAACAGATAAAATAAATAAATACAAATTTTTTGTTAAATATTATATATAAAATGTCAAAAAGAATTCAACATTTTTTTACAATAAAGTTTTATAATTATATCAAAATATTTTACACGCTTTGACTTTCGAGACCACAACATATTCGACTGTGCCCTAACTTATATACCATATGTAACTCTCAATTTTTTTTTTCTTTATATGAAGACTAATGAAATTTATTTCGTATCTGGACTAATGTATTTAAGTATGTAAGTTTTTCCGCAAGGTAGTCATCTTGGCCCGATTCTGTTCTTGTTGTTTATTAACGATATCTCTTCAGTAATTGAATTCTCAAAAATTTCATTATACGCTGACGACGTAAAGCCTTTTAAATCATACACTTCAACTGAGGAAAAGTGTCTGTTGCAAACAGACTTAAACAATATGGTTGCATGGTGTGATAGGAATGATTTGCCATTAAATCTGAATAAATGTAAGACGATGTGCTTTTCCCATAGATCTGTGTACCCCTCTTCTTATGTCATAAAACACCATATTCTGGAGCAAGCTTTTAACTATGTTGATTTGGGGGTTAATATGTTGTCCTCAGTTTTGTTAAACGTTGGTCTAAAGAATTTAGAGATCCGTATATTACTACAACACTTTATACAACTTTGGTTAGACTTATATTGGAATATTGCTCTGTTGTATGGAACCCTAACTACCAAATCCATTCTGACAAGTTAGAGTTTGTTCAAAAACAATGTTTACTTTTCGCCTTAGCGCATTTCCGATGGGATTCTAGGGTAAGTTTACCTCCATACACTAGTCGTTTAAAACTTATTAATCTACCTACACTTTCTAGTCGTAGGGAAATACTTGGCATAATATTCTTAGTGAAAATATTGAATGGAACATTTTGCAGCTCTTTTCTCCTGTCTGAAATTAAATTTAATATCCCGATTCGCTTTTCGAGGCAGTTTAGACCTTTACTGTTAAAATCCTGTAGATCAAATTTTGAACTAAACGAGCCATTCCGCCGTATATGTCATGATTTTAATTCTCATTCCAGCACATTTGACTTATCTGACTCACTTTTCAAAATAAAAAAGACTTTATTGTTTTCTCTTAATGAATGAAAATGTTACAATTTATTATATTGTAACTATAAATCTTAGCTGTTGAAATTTTTGTTTCTGTAGCTGAGCAGTTTTAGATCTCAACACTTAAAAAACTCTCTTGCCTTTTCTGACTCGGCTAATTCCGCACGTATGCGGATTGCGCCCCTCGCGTCGGTTGGGCGGGAGGAGGGTAATCGTTGGGTTATTATTATTATTATTATTATCTTCTCTAAATTTCCTATTGCATTTTCATGGAGCAAGCTCAAACCTTTAGATTCAGTTATTTGTCGATATGTCTTTATGCACCTAACTAAATCGGTTGAAACATAATCTTCATTTCAAGCACTACTAATATATTTAAGTATGGTTAAAAAAAATTAAATCACATGCTTTTAAAGCACATTAAACTAAAACCTTACCTTGCATACCATCAAACCATTATTCGAATCAGCTGTTTACTAATGTGACAAAACTTGAAAATGACTAAGTTTGATATATTGTAAATACTGAATAAAGTATACTAAGTCATTTACTTGTATGCTTGTATACATGCTTACTTTACAAATGTATATCACATTATCGACTGAATAAATACGCATTTGGGTGTTAAATTAAGTTTATTACGTTTTGTAAATCCTCTTAAAATATCTGGATTTTTCCATAAACTCAATAATTATAAGATTTTGTGTTTTATTTTTATATTTCCTCCTATAAAAATAAAGATAAATTAGATTGTAAAAATAATAGAAATTATTTTCTTAACTTACATTTCAAACTTTTCAGCGGCTCTCCTATGGCTTTGTTTCTGATAACAAAACCGTTAAATTGGTTTTCGTGACACCCAAAACCGATACAATTTCTGTTTCGTACGTCAAACCAACAATATCTGAACACATGACACCTACTACATTTTTTTATCAGTTTCAATTCTGATTCCGACAACTATGAGATTCTACAATACCCCTAAATATTTCAACAGGAATATGTCCGTTATTATGTACATGGGTATCACAAAATATGTAGACAAGGAGTAATCAGATTAAGACGGGTAACTAAAAAACCGAATAGGGTAAATACAGTCAGAGGAAGCTTTCCAAGGAAAAATAGAAGTATATATCTCTTTTTAAACGACATATACTGATTATTCATTCCTCCCAATTTTAAATGACGGTTAAATAAGGTTAATGTTGCAGATGGTATTAATCCCACCATTGCCACACACCCAGAAGATGGCGTTAATAAAGTTCTTTAAATAAGTAGAAAAGTCGAGTGCAGCGGAACATTTCAGCCTCTTGCAACTTGCAATGCTCAAAGTCGAAGAAATACCTTCAGATGTTGGCTAAACTTTATATTAAAAAAGCAAGAAAGAGCTAAGTTCAGGTGTAACCCCACATTTCATACTCTTGCAACTTACCAAGATCAAAGCCAGGGAAATACCTTCAGGGGCATACGGTTTGTTAGAACCAAGAAATTCAATATATGTATGTAGGATATGATAGTTTAGGGTAATTTGTGAACCAATTTCACATATTTTCGGCATTAAACTATAGTATATTCAATATTATACTTCCAGTAAATTTTGCTAAAATATCTTACTTATTTGCTGCAATATGCGATATAAAGTCAGCCGGTAGTTCGAACATCATTCTATTAGGTATATGGGGGCTAAAGGAATTATTGAGACGATACAACCCATTTTTGACATACAGGCATACGAGTATTATTATCAGAAAAGGATTCTCTTCGAATTTCTATAACATATCTCACAGATTAAATTGATTCATCGCGCTTTTAGTAGTTTTTAACAACACTGTTATATGGGGTGTGGGCGGGCTTGTCACTCGATTTTACCCATTTTCTCACTGGCGATAGAAGTGCTAAAAACATTTGTTCGGTTTAGGAGATATGCATATTAAACCTATTAGGGTTAAATTTAAACTGTAGATGATCCTCCCTAATGTGATCCTGTATACCAAATAACAGTCTTGTATCTTATTGTGTAGTTTAGTTATGGCAATTTATTCGTTTTTGATTAATCGCGTTTTGTAGGCGTGGCAGTGGACCGGTTATGCCAATCTGCCAAGGTACCAAGAAACATGTGTATCTTTTTTACTCAAGTTATAGCTTGCACGGAAGGACGGACGGACGGACGGACGGACAGTCGGACAGTCGGACTGACAGTCACCCGGATTTCAACTCGGCTCTTCATCATAATAATTTATGCATGTATATATATAACCCTATATCCAACTCAATTAGTATTAGGTAATACAAACAACCGTTAGATGAACAAAACTATTATACTCTGTAGCAACATGTTGCAAGAGTGTAAAATTGTTGTGAAAGCATTTAGTATTCATTATTCGACGAAATCGTGAATGGATTTCAATCAAATTTGGTATTTTATTACGTTTTATTATAAGTAATAAACTCACTTAGTTTTTTTGGTATATTTTACTTCGTGTCAGCTAAAATATTATATTAAAATCAGTTTGAAATGAGATATTTGTGATTTAAAGGCAATCGAAAGGACAAAATTTAGTAAATTGAGTTGATGTGGAAAACGATCGGAATAATTTATATTAAGGACATGAGGTTAAGACCAAACTCTAGATCAACTTAATTAATATTCAACGCTAAACCCCTAATATAATTTTATAATTTTTAGGAAAACTGTTTTACTAAATTTCGTTAAAATATCACAAATTTTGACCAACCTGAACGGTTTAAAGTCAGCTGGAAAGTCGAAAAACCACTATACAGGGTATATTGTGGGCGTGTTGCATTAACTTTTGACATTGCTTATGTCTACTCAAGAACATATTTTCAAACAATTTTATTAATAAATATCGCACACACTGACCGACATATTCGGCATAAGGTTTGGTAGAGTAACGAAAATCATTATATGTAGTATAATACAATTTCATATATTTTCGGCATTAAGCTATAATATATCCAATATTATACTTTCAGTTAATTTGGCAGAGATAATTTACATATTGACCAGTATAAAGGCAGCCGGAAGTTTGAAAATCGTATATTAGATAAGTATATGGGAATAGGGGTAATACTGAACTGATTATATCTATGTTTGGCATTTCTACATATTGCTAATAGAAAAAGATGCTCTCGGAGTTTTATTAGGGTACCTTACATACCATCATTAATATATAGGGATTAAAGTCAACCGGATGTTTGAAAAACCTGATATTAGTTATATGGGGGCTAAGCCAAATAGCCCGATTTTCCCCATTTTAATTCCAATGATGTATCCTTATTAGAAAAACACGCCCACTCAATTTTACTAAGAAAACTAAAATATGTATACACATTGGCCGATATATGTGGTACAAAGTCCACCGAAGTTCGAAAATCTTTCTATTAGATATATGGGGGCTAAGGATTTTCTGCATACAGACATATCGCTATCAGAAAAGGATTCTCTCCGAATTTCAAAAATATATCTCACACATTGACCGATATTTTCGATAAAAAGTCAGCCGTAGCCATAGGTGGTCCATAATTTTCGTATATGGGGGCTTGAACAGTTATGGTTCGATTTTGATTATTTTTAGAACTGAAATGATTAAGATATTCCCGGCAGTATTTGTGCAAAGTTTTATCTTTAGTGCTTAATTTATATACTGGAAAGTGAAAGAATCGGATGGATTGTAAAAATTGTGTTATATAGGTCCGAT